TAGTTAATCTAGCCAAAAATCTCAATAAAGAAGTGCGCACCAAGCAGCAACAGCAGCATGCTACTCAAGTTTGGTATAGCATAGTCAATGCGACCGGGTTCGTGCCTAACTTTGTTGGATGGTGGAATGAAACCTGTGGTGAGGTTGCAACATTAGTTTCAGACTTGCCATCACCCAAAACCATTAGCATAGTAGCAGAAGCATTCGACTCCAAACTCGTGCAGCTTGAAAAGGTCTTGAACAAAGCAAGAATAGCCACAGCAAAGAAGCGGAGACAGGATGATGTCAACATCATCTTCAAAGATCTGAAAAAGGAGTCCCCTAAGCCTTGCACCACACTGCTGCATGCAGCAAGAGCCCAGGTTGTGGAAGCCAATCCGGAAGATCAATCCATTACACTGGAACCACCCCAGGCTTGGAAGGAAAATCAACCGATATGGACTGACCAGGGTCCCATGGAGGTCATCCACGCAGAACCCGACAAACTTTGGCTTCAGCAAGATCCGGCGCAGTTGGTAGGGACACAAGTTAAGCAGGATGAGTACATTGGCCAAATCAATAACATGTTCCAAGCCTTCCAAGACGAATGGGTCAAAAGGTGGGATCGTCACTTGCATGTTCAAGAAAGCTACTGGCAGCCCTTGGTTGAATTTGTACAGTTGGCTTTTCCGCACTCCCCGGTCATGGAGTACCAAAGAATCAGCCTGGAACAATGGAACCAAGCCTTGCGCCGCAAAAAGCACCGATCAGCAGTGGGGACAGATGGTGTATCAAGGGCGGACCTGATCAACATGCCCACGGCATTGAAACTGGAGCTCCTTGATATCCTCCACACCATTGAAGAAGGGAACCAATGGCCATCACAACTACTCCAGGGATGGGTGATAGCACTCGAAAAACAGCAGGGAGCTAGCGAGGTTTCACAATATCGCCCAGTCACCATATTTGCTCTAGCGTACAGAGTGTGGTCGTCAGTGCGTGCCAAACAAATTCTGAAACATCTAAGTAGGATGGCCCCAGAATCTTGTGCAGGAAACTTGCCCACCAAGTCCACGTGCGATGTGTGGTATACCATTTTGAGTTCCATTGAAATGGCTCACCATACAGGTCAGGAGGTGTCAGGAGCTGTAATTGATTTGGTGAAGTGCTTCAATCTCTTACCCAGAATGCCTGTCATCATGATGATGCGTCAATTTAATGTCCCAGACCAAATTCTCCAAGCTTGGTCCAAAGCTCTTGTGGGAATGCGTCGCAGATTTAAGTTACGTACGTGCACAGGACCAGGTATCCCATCGAGCACAGGTTTTGCAGAAGGCTGTGGACTCTCGGTCACAGCCATGCTAGCGGTAAACTTGGTTGCCCATAAATGGATGTTGTTGCGTTTTCCCTCAGTAACCCTCTATAGTTATGTGGATAACCTAGAGTTGCTGTGCCCTTCAGCAGACCATGCCATTCGGAGTCTTGATGAGCTGCTCAACTTCACAGAAGTTTTGGACGTAGCCGTAGATCACCACAAAACATATCTATGGTCCACCCAAACAGTGGGAAGGAAGGTCCTGCGGAAGGCAGCAGGGCCACACAGATATCAAGTTCTCTACCAGGCCAGGGATTTAGGAGGGCATATGTCTTATTCTAGGCAACACACCAACTCTACCCTAACCAAACGAGTGCAGGGTATGCCAGAATTGTGGAATCAAATGTCACGCAGTCTTGCGCCGTACCAGCAAAAATTGCACTCACTGAAAGCAAAAGCATGGCCGTTGGGTTTGCATGGCATACAGGCCACAACGATGGCAGCAGGGTTTTTTGCAACACTGCGTACCGGAGCAGTTAGGGCCATTAGGGAACACTCTAGTGGGACCAACCCCATGTTGCATCTCGGAGCGGTTGAACACCCGGTTCATGATCCGCAGTTCCACGTCATAGCAGCCACCATAAGCATGCTCAGAACCCATGGGCCGACCCCAGAAGCATTCGACTTTGTTTTGGCAGCGCATCACACCTTTAATAGACATGCGTCGTCTCCAGGTCCATGCGGAGTTGCTTTGAACCGGTTACATGTAATAGGTTGGCAGTGGGTTGGGCATGACACTTTTCTGGACCATGAGGGTTTGCCAATTGGCATCCTGCACTGCCCGGTGCAGGAGGTCAAGCAGAGACTTACAGAAAGTTGGCAGCAGCATACCATGCACTTAGCACAAGCTAGGAAAACTTTTGTAGGTGCGCCATACATGCATCCAGGACTGACGGTGGCCAACATGAGGAGACACGATCCAGAACAGCAGGCCCTCCTTAGAGCAGCACTTAATGGAACGTTCTTTACTGCGGATCACCTGGTCCACCGACAAGGTGAACACTCCGGTCTTTGCCGTTTTTGTCATGAGCCAGACAGCCAGTTGCACAGACATTGGAAGTGTCCATTCTTTCAAAGTTGCAGGAGCCATTTGATTGTGGACCAAATACAAGCAGTGCTGGAACTGCCGGCAGTAGTTGCCAATCATGGATGGGTGCCCAAGCCTCCCAGTTTGATGGAATTTCGCAAACAGTGTCTTGGCCTGCCAGATGAGACAGCTGATTTCATCTGGCCTGCACACATCGAAGAAATGCTTTTCCTTTTCACTGATGGTTCATGCATGGCACCCACTAGCCCATGGTGCCGGTTAGCCAGTTGGGGTGTAGTCCTAGGGTCAGTCGAGCACGATGTTTTCCAGCCAGTTTCGAACGGATTGGTTCAAGGGCGGGTCCAAACAGCAGCACGAGCAGAAATCCATGCAGTTTTGTCAGCCTTTGAGTTCGTCCTTCGCACGCGCAAGCCTTTTGCATTGTGGGTTGATAACGACAGGGTGTATAAGAAATTGCAGCTTTTCCAAAGGGGTTGTTTTCGTATTACGAGTAATCAGAAAGATGCAGACCTCTGGATGAGATTGCGAAGTTTGTATAGCCATGTGGGTCACCTACTGCAACATGTTGGTAAGGTAGTTAGCCATCAGAACCTTAGGCAGAGAGCTGGATTTTTCGGGGCAATGCCGCCGCCGACAGAGTAGCAGCAACAGCGTTTCACCGTTTTCCAAATCTGATTTTGGTGTGGGAACAATTGTACCGAGATGTGGCCAATGTAGGAATTCTCAGGGATCAGATTCACAAAGTTTTGATCCAGGTAGGACAGAAGTCGTTCATCAGTCCGGCCGGACAAACTGACCGACCAACGGCACCAGCCAGGGTAGCTCAAGAAGATGTAAAGCTTTTTGTCCCGACACTTATATCAACCAGCCAACTGTCCCGCAGATGGAGCTTCCCTGAGGCCCAACAAGTGGTTGACTGGCTGATGTCTATTCTGGATGAAGGAGTGACAGCGAAATTTCTGAGCTGGTTCCAACTCAGCATTCTGTTTGAACATCAAACGAGGTTACCGGGAATTTCTTACAAACCGAGCAGTAAGAGGTATTTCTTGGCGAGCAACGCAGACAGAAAGAATTTCGTTAAGCGCACAAATAACTTTTCCAGGTGGGTGCAAGGAGTTTTCCCACAGTGCAAGGTGCTCCATGTCCGACCACATTCCTCAGCCATCTCTTTTTGGACCATGTGTCTCTCCATGAAGGTAAAGCCATATGCGGTGGAGCTCATGGATCAATTGCTTTCCCAGCACCAGAACACTTTCACACAGGTCAGGCAGCTGTGTGCAATCTGATTTGTTCACTAAGGTCTCTCGCGAACCTCCGCAAATATGCCGAGGGAGCCAGACGGTCCGAAAATCTGTCCGAAAATCTGATGATTAGCAGTGAGAATCCCCACAAAAAAACAGGCGTGTTTTTTTCGTTTTTGGTCTGTCTGAAAATTGACAATATACCTTGAGTTGCCCGTGTTTGGCTTAAGACTGGTGGGGGGGGGTCCGGAGGGGGGGGGTGTGGCTTGGACTGTTCCGTTCTATGTGACGGCTGCGCTTGTGAAGAAATAGAGCAGTCTATTAATGAAACATGCATGCATAAGTCTAGGTATTATGTTTATAAATAATGATTATTATATATGGATTAAAATATATGTGTATGTATAGACATACATACATAAGATTACATTACCTTACTTTTCGTTACGTTAGATTGCATAACAAAACATAACATAACATACACAACCATACATAATTACATACTAACTAAATGCATACATGCATAGATACAGACATAGAAAAACCCATACAGGCATGCATTCATACGTATGCATACGTATACAGAGAAGCACGCGGGGTTGGCGGGGTTGTTAAAGGCCTTTTGTCGCATAGTTCCTAACAGTCCATCTCTCGGGGGGGGGGGTGGTGCAAGGCAAGGTGCTAAAATTTCAAAAATAGGTGCTCAAATTTAGGGAAATAGGTGTTTTTTTGAAGAAACCCAGTCGGGATCCAGTCGGGCACCAATTTTCGAATTTTTGGCACCGCGTTTGGACCTGTCGGGAAGCAGCCAAAATCACCCAAAAACGCGCAAAAACCGTGCAAAAATGCTACTTTTTATGAATTTGGCTGCCTCCCGACATTGGTGCCCGACTGGATCCCGACTGGATCCCGACTGGCCAAAAGCGGTGCCCAAAAATGCAAAAATTGGTGCCTGACTGGGTCCCGGCGGGATCCCGACTGGATCCATAAATCGGCAAGAACCCACTCCCGCACCTATTTTTCCCTTCCCAGACCCACCCTTGCCCCTATTTTCCTTTTCCGCGCACCAGCCGTGCACCAATACCCCCCCCCTCCTGCACCAAAACGGCAAAAGCAGCCCCAAGCCAAACGGGGGTCCTACAAAACACACCACCAAAATGCTTATACCCTCTGGTAATTTAACAAAAAACTATGGAAAATCACCATTTTGAATGGGTAAATCCACTATTTCGACTGGGCCATTTTCAATAGCTATGTTATTTTACCAAATGGTGATATTTTCATAGGGAAAATGATGAGAAGTCCATGGATTTGGGGGTTGTTACCATGTCCAAAGCCATGATTTTACTAGACCGAGGTACAAGCGACGGCGCATCCCGAAGGACTACGGTTACTTCCTGGTGTCTGCCGTGCGCAGTCCGTAGTGAGCTGCCTAGAATGAGTTATTTTGGATATCTTTGGTGTATATCTTCAATGTGGGGCACCCCCCAGATATAAGTTGGTGCATAAACACCATGAATACTATATATATATCATCTTCACCAACTTTTAGCTATATAGGAGGCCCCACTTTCTGCCATCTGTGAAAGACCCTCGTTTGGAGGACTCACAGGTTGGTCAACAAGAATTGGACGGTCGTCGGAAGATTTCTTTCCCGATTTCGCGTGCTGCATGTTCATTTTGCGAAAGATCACATTAAACAGACGATTTGCTTTTGGTTTGTATGCATGCTTACTTTGGTTTCCTATTTGAAAGGGCGCTAGAATAATCATGTTAAAAATCTAAAGTGCCGCAGGGGACATAGTAATTTGGTTTAGAGTCTAGTGCACTTTTTGGGGAGGAAAACATCATTGAACCAACAGGATGTGCCGGCAGGAATTGTGTGCTATCTAACCCCAGGCCGTTGCGCGTGGTCTCTACAACTCGTACTTTGCAGGTTTACAAGTTACTGGGTATACGGTATGCGTCTCATGTGATAGAAGCTTCCGAAAAACGACCCACACCTGATGCCAGCTACACCTTTGCGTGGCTCGTTTGGAACCCAGCAGAGTCTGGAACAGTTTTTGCTGGCGCAGGTGGAGCTCAAAATGACTCAGCTGCCATGTCTGGGAGTATAGCGGCCTCGCCGACCTCACTTAGATTATTCGAAATCATGAGACTATGATGTTTTTTGAAGATTAGATATTAGTAATAGATTGTTTACTAGATGACATTGTCTCCTTTGTGTTTCCTTGGTTTTTCAGAAAACCTCACATGTTCCGCCCCATTCACTTCATCTCCCTCGGAGGTCGTTGGCTGGTCATCCCTATCACCCAATGGCTCGTTGTTGGAGGAAATTGAACACACCAACCGATATCAGGGATCCAAGCGGTCCAAGCCGTTGTAGGGAAATGATAGCCACGTTCATTTTATCAGAATTGGTCATTTTCCGCACTTTTTTTCTGTGAGGTGTTGGTAGCAACCCTGAATATTTGTTGATGTTCTGGTTCCACCACAAAAGATGCCGAAAAGTGTTTCCGGGATGGTAGTTCGATGATATACACCGGACATTTCCAGGTTTCAAACGTTTCTATTTTGGGGTTGATGTACATGAAGACAGAACAGCAACAACCCATTGGCCAAGGTCTGGAGGCAAGCCTCAGCCAGCATCTCAGTGATGTTGGTTTATAACCCCCATGAATACTATAGTCATAAGTATCATAAACCATACAACAATTGGAGTTATGTTCACCAAGGGCTCCACTTTGTAGAGCCTGGTGCTACATATTTATATATATAATTAGTGATGTCATAACATAGTTAGATGGTATAAGATGCTACAACTAACCTACAATGAATATGTCAATTGGAATTGTATGCTTGTGCTGCCAACTGTAGGATTCCCCAGTATGAGGCTTCTGACCCTTGCCTGACTGGCTCCAAGCAGAATGAAAGGAATTCTGCAGAGGCAAAAGCTAGAAGCAGCACGTGGTGGAATAGGAGGGTCGTAGTATATCAATCCTTGGTGGATCAAAGTGAAGAACTTCACAGCCAGGCGGTTTGTCGGTACCCTCATGGCCAGTGCAGGATGGGAACAAAAACAGGTATAGGCAGTATAGGCTAAAACCAAAAACACGTCACATCAATGGTGTGGATTTTTGGCATTTTAGACTTTAGTTTTTTACCCATACCATGAGGAAGTGACTGTTGTGAGGGCTATCAACCCATACCAATACAAGGCCGTAGGGGAGGAACATCCGATGGTCTTCACCAGAATTATGATGAGTACTGACTACCTGCATAGAATGAATCCTACTGGGCATCGGCCAGCACAGATGCAGTTTGGGTAGTATCACCCGCAGTTTATATAAATTGGGGCCATTGAAATCCAGTAAGGAACCAACGTATTGCAATTTTAAGTGAGTAACCTCATTGTCCAAATCTGTATCTTAGAGTTCAAAGGTTCCAGTCGTCTCAAGTGCACATGGCCATAATATCCATAATCATGGCCATGGTCTGTATCCAGAATACAGATTGATTTTCATGGATTTACCCGTTATAAACCGAGATTTCTCAGCTCGCCATGTTCGGTGAGCGCTGCTAAGGCGCTGATGGCATCTTCCACATCCATCCGACCCGACAAGGTGGCGAAGTTGTGAAGCTTGCCTGATGCTTTGCAGTGCCAGCTGCTCCCAAAACTGGAACAATATACAGGTATGATATACATATATATATTATATCATATATATATATATTATATATATTATTATATATATATTCTATATATTATGATATATTATGTATGTTATTGATATACATCCATATCATATATAATATACTATTTATATAAATATGAATATCCCCTAATTTCTAATATAGTACACGGAGCATTCGAGCTTCCCGAAATACTTAGGATTCATTATCCTTGGCTAAAAGATGCTCATTGCATTGATGATTGCATACACTTTCATTTTTGAGAGTCATGCATGAACCCATTCAAAACGGGAGCTCGAGTCATACGTATGACGGCAGTGAAACCTAGCCATTGTCACAGCGACACGTGCACGTGAAAATAGTGGGTTTTAACCACCTGCCTGATGATGATGGACATCCAAGATACCTTGGCTGTTTTACTCGTTGTGGTGTTTGTGGTTCACGCGCTGCTTGTCATAGTTTAGTTGTGTTCTTTTTGTTTTTTCTGGCGGCTTTCACTGATTTGTTGGTGCTTTGGACACTTAAAAAGTAATTATACTGTTGGATACTTTTGGACATTCCCGACATTGTCAGGTTGTTACCACAGTCCAGTTATCCTGTCCCCAGGGATCCAAATCCTTTCCAAGTATATAATCCTCTAAGATCATACCCATAAATTGGTACTTGGAATCATATGGGGTTAGGAACTTGCAAAATCAGAGACTTATTTGCAACAATCAGATTTCTCGGATATAGGAATCTGTTTTGGGATCTTGAAAAACCATGGCCTTTGACGGTCCTTTGGCGTGTTGTTTTTCTCCCCAACATCGCCTCAGCCAGACCCAGCCACAGATACCCAGCGTGGGTGCCACGGAGGTGACCTACCACACCTTGATTTCGACCTTTGGCAAAGGCCATCAATCTCTGAAGGCTATGCAGGTGGGGAGGAACTCGGAGGAACAGAAGATCTCATAAGTTGGTCTCCTGTGACGAAAGATGTATAACAATCGATAACATTGGCGTTATGTAAATGGAATGGTTAATAAATGTCAACAAGTACAAACTTTTAAACATAATTCAATCATGTTCATATGATGCTAGTACTTGTTGACATGTTTTAACTTCATTTAGCTGCCATAAATCCCCATGACAGCGTTAAAACCATGGTTTCCCTTGATATATGCCTCATTCAAAAAAACTTTTTTGGCACCCTTTTTGGACAACCCAGAATATTCCCGGCATATAATCCGTATATTCCCATTTTTATGCTGCTTACCCTTTCGTAATCAAACATGGCTTACTGGAAAATCCCCCATTCAGTTCCATGTTTTTCCCATATAGAGATATCGGTAAATTATAACGACCTCACTGCGACCGAACCCTGGAATGATGATTAGTAAGAGGTAACTATCCCAATAAAGCCCAGATAGATGCCCATGTCGGGGACAAATCCAGCGGCCCGCCATGTTTAATGACACCTTTGGGTTTTTTCTAGCAGCCCTTCACCATCATCCCAAGGATTTATTCAAAGCATAACACACCTTTTCACAGGTATATTCCATTGAATTATCCCCCGTAATTCGCAAGGATTCCAATTTTTTTTTCCAATTGATGTTCAGTAATTCTCCAGTCATGAATTCCCATGATATAAATCCCATGTTCCCCATTAGTCTCATTAAATCCCATGTTTATTCCTATTTTGATTCTCATTTCCCTTTGGTAAATTCACAGTTCGTCCCGGGAAACTCATCGTCCCCCCGTTTTTTCTCTGCCAGACTTCGTCGAATGTGAACTGGAGGGTTTTTTTCCCCACGGATATAACCTCAGCTATAACCATAGATATAACCATATTATTACCATATCAACCCTTCAAAAATCTGGCAGGGTCGTCATGTGGTTTTTTTTCCCATGGAGAACTCCACCCTTCGCCGCCTTCGCCGCCTTCGCCGCCTTCGCCGCCTTCGCCATGCAGGCCTTGGAATCCATGAGACACTCATCTCTGCGTCCCGGCCTCCCCGGCAACTTGGACGAATGGGGAGATGGGACCGTTCTGGGTAAGAATGGGACTATGTCTACTGTGTGTATATATATATATGTATATATATATATGGGTAAATTATAACGACCTTAATCTAGGTGAGTGAAATATTATAATTTTACCCATATATATATATATATACACACAATGTGGGGCCCCCCCAGTGATGTTTGTTGGTTTGTAAACCCTATGAATACTATAGTTATAAGATGTTATAAGTATAATAAACCATAATTATTGGAGTTATAAACCAACTTATCTATCTAGGAGGCCCCACATTGTATATATTACTTGGTCCCTGCAAATACTTGGACCCTCCGTTTTACCCATGAAAATTGTGCTTTACCCCTTCTTTTAGTATTTTTACCATTTGTTGGAGGTGTTTATAGAGGTCTTGGTAGATGTATAGCAAAGCACCAAAAATCGTTGATGATTTCCTGTTCCAGCTCTTTCGAGGGATCTGAGGTGTTCCTGCAGAAACAAAATGATTCAGGGAAAGTCTGTGTATCGGGGAGGAAAGCCATTATGGTTCTTTTGGTGCACCCCCAGTTGTAGGTTGATGAATATATTCACCATAAATCCTGCATATTTAGCCTAGGTATGAACCAACTTAAATAACTATCTTGCAGCTCTTTCTATCGCGAATGTCAAATGAACAGTTTTGTGAAACATAGACTTGTCATGTGTTTCTACATTCAGTAGACATGCCGTACTGGAGCAGTGTACTCTTTGGTTTCAATACTTCACTGGCCTGTTTTTCCCCCGTTTACGTCGTGATAGATCTCTAAACAAGAAATGGACACTGTTGTGGTGTTTGGATAGGACTTGTTGGCACATGAAGAACATTTTTGACTCTCAAGGCCGTTCATAAACACAGATCAGACCTTAACATATCACCAACAATATGTTGCTTGGTACAGGATGGGACCCCCAGTTATAAGTTGGTTTATAAACAGAGTTAACTATAGTTATCTATAGCTATATCTACCATAAACCATAGTTAAGACATCTGAGTTTCCTACATAGACACTGAGCATTTATGAAGCGTGTGTTCTCCACATGGCATGTGCGTCACGTGAAAAGCTGCGGCACCAAGACGGCAGATCAAGACCCTCCAGGTTTGTGGTCCTCTACCAGCATCGCTTTACATCACCACTCGTTTTTTTCCCTATTTAGACAATGTTTATTGGGTTAAATCTCTACATAATGTCAGGTGCCATCTCATATAGATATAGCCATCTCCCAAAAAGATAGAACAGTGAAGTATGATCTTTTCAGCAAGTTAAGTCGTGATCTGCTTTTCTATCGTTTTTGGGGATAACTATACACTGTCCTCGTACCAGCCTCCAGGGTGACTCGTGAGGCTACAATGCAGCTATCCGGGCGCTTGCCATAGAGGTGTCGGTTTGATCGGCTCGGCTAGGAAGATAACAAAACGGCTTCTGGAGATACACCCAACGACGAGCTACTTACTGGTTTATGGTAGATATATATTTTTTTTTGTTTAATGGAATATGAATGGGATATGAATGGGATGATTGTGGCTATGATTCATACTCTCCAGCAATGAAACATAGCAATTGCATTCCCTATAAATGGTGGTTTATAGCTGGGAAAATCATCGAACTACATGGTGGATGTTCGATTGCCAGGTTTGATTACAGCAGGGTACTTGTCAAGAAAAAAACATCTGACCGGACCTGTTCCTCCTTTTACTTTACCCTCTGGTAATTTGTTACATAGCTATTGAAAATGGCCATTTATAGTGGATTTTCCCATTAAAAATGGTGATTTTCCATAGCTATGTTAAATTACCAGAGGGTACATGTTCATTTGTTTGTTTCCTTCTCATGTGTTTTTGTTAGTCAAGCAAAACTAGTTATTAGGTTACAACATGTTGGGATGATCATTGATCGTTTGTCGCAACCCTCAGGATAGAGAGCAAAGTCCTACCAAAGTAATGTACTCTTCTAAAATTTGTCCATCCTTTTTTCTGGGGGGTTGATAGGTGTTATTTTCCTTGCTTTCTGTCTCCTGCCTTGATCCTGATATCATCCAGACTTGGCACCTGGCACCAGGACAACTTCGAGGACTTTGTCGGCCAGCGCTGGGGTGAAGCATTGAAGCTCTACAGGCTATGTCGGAATGATGGGCGTGGAGCTCGGAGTTGTTGAATAGTTCAGCCAATTTCAGCCACTTATCATATGGTGGTACTTTAAACTGGGGGATCAACACTAAAAATGGTCTGATTTTAGCCGTTTTAGAAAAGCTCCACATATAGATCATATACAGCTGATCAGTAGTTCGATGATAAGAATTATATAGAATTATTGATGACTTGACATTGTTTTTGGTGGACACATTTCTATAATAGTATATAATAGTCAGATATAGCCAGATATAGTCAGATGGGAAATATACCCGAAGAAACACGGTGCTTGCCAGCCCTAGCCCTGTGGTTTCTACGATGTTTATCACGCAGGCGGATGGAAGAAGATTCGCTGAGACCCGATTTGGGGACATACAACGGGCGCTTCGACCCAAGTCAGACCATGCGGGACGCGCCTTCTTGACCAGATCCAATCTATATATTATATATATATACAGCATATATATATATACAGTATATATATACAGTATATATATATATATATGTATATTATATAAGGGGTTTCCATGGATTATCCTTTTTATTGGGTAACTGCAGTAACCCATTTTAGGAAACCTCCATATCCAATACTAAACCAGAGTTTTGGGATGTTTCTTGTTTCCCATCCGCCTTTTTTTTCAACACGACTAAACCATGGCTTTCTGGTGTTTAATATGAACAGGTGAACGGATTATTTGATATTCAAGGGACTCAGGACGATTTGAGCTTGCCAAGGCTTGTAAGTGTCTATGGTATGGCAGGCTCATCATTGGGAAAACGATGGGATTTTGGTGGGCGCAAGCTCCCAAGACCAACCCACTGTGATGTGTTGGACACTGGGCCATGGGGACATCTCACTGATGGTGTTTCACTTACGAATTGTTGTATTAAGTTGGGGATTGAACACAAAACAACATATGGGGATGGGTCAAAACCCATTAATCCCTTCCCCCTACAATGTGGGGCCCCCCAGTTATAAGTTGGTTTATAAACCCCAG